CTGCTGCTCTTCGGACCCTGAGGCTCTGCCCCTATCCAGGCTGGAAGATGGAGTCGGGCCAAGGTAAGAGCCACCCGGAGAACCCAAGCAGCTGTGGGGAGCCCCGAACTCTTCACCTACCCTGGGTGGGGGGCCATGGAAGATGGGGACATGGGCCAGGGGTGGCTTTCGGGCCCCCCACTCAGGGCAGGTGGGGGATCTGGGGCTCCCCACAGCTGCCTGGGCGGCTGTTACCCTGGCCAGGCTCCGGCTTCTGGCCTGGGGGCAGGGCCTCAGAGGGAAGAGGAGGGGCAGAGCCATGGAGGGGGCAAGGTCTCATGGCCCCCCACTTTTACGAAGGATCTGGCGCCCCTGCCCCAGATGCCGCCATCACCTAGCAGCTCGTTGGTACCAGCAGGGAGTGTGGGCTGATGGATCCTAGTTCAAAATGGAGGCACTGCCCATAAAGCTCCTGATTGGAGGAGACATCCGGCCTCTCCAATTGGCTCAGACTTGCTATTTAAGCCAGAAGGAGGCAAAGAAGTTGTCTGAGGACCTAGATGAATTCCTGCCTAGCTGCTACATTGGACCTTGTCTGACTCCTGCCCTACTCCTGGTTCCTGCCTTGTACTTGATCCCTGGTTCTACACCCTCACCCCTGTCTGCTGACTCTGGATCCGACCCTTGGCTTGACTCCTGATTCTGTCTCCGACCCCAGCCTCTGGATCCAGGTGCCTGTCTCCTGCTCTGACCACTAGGTCTGACCATCAGATCAGACTGCCTATGTGCTAGTCCATAACAGTAACTTTACTTGGATAATAAAATTCAGTTCAGTGTTATTCACGTGGAGCTTTTATGATAGCCAAAACACATGCACAAAATATTAAGTAAAGCCTCCCAAGCACCAGTATGCCTAAGAAAATTAACGTGTTCTAACTTGTGTCACTATGTGATGGCGCCATGTACGCTGATTTGCTCTGATTTCAACCATTGGTGGTACCGACCTAGGTACATGCATTGATGTGAACTCCTAGAGTAGGCAGGCAATGCCCTTTTTAAGACACGTTTTGCAACAGTGCGTCTTACCCCAGTTTCAAGCAGAGGTAAAGTTGCATTGGGGCAGATCGCAGCGTATAGCAGGTGTGATGTCCCAGTCCTCAAACCCAGGCCTGTGAGTTCCCAGAGAGCCACCGCATCCTGGCCACCACCTGATGTCAGCTGAAACCTGGTGGGCCAAGGAGCTAGCAGAACTACAGCCTCAGCCAAGGCACTACCCACAGGAGTCCTGACTGGAGGATCGCCTGGCTTCCCCAATTGGTCCAACCATGCTATTTAAGACAGAGGGAGGCACAGGAAATTATCTGAGCAACTTGGTGATTGCCTGTTGCTGTTGTGTTGGACCCTACTGGTGCCTGCATTCAATCCCGTTCCTGATTCCTACTCTGCTCCTTACCCCCTGCCCTTGTGCCTATTTCCCACTGTGCTCCTGCTCCATGCCTGATCCTTTCTTCTTCTCCGGTTCCTGTCTTTATGCCTCACTTCTGACAATCATTTACCAGTCCTGGCTCTGACTTGTGACTCTGGCTTGACTCTTGGTATCTGATCCCATTTCTGACCCTCAGCTTTGATTCCTGGTTCTGACTGTGGCTTTGGTAATCAGCAGTTGACTCTGGTGTTAATCCTCAACTCTGTTCCCCGGATGCCTGCTGCACCCATGAGACCTGACTCCTGCTCTGACCACTAGGTCAGACCACCTATATCCTGGTCACTAACAGCAGGTTTGCTAGTGTGTGTTAGGATTTCACATGGAGGTGGCTACTCCAGTAGCCGAAATCAACAGCATAGACATGGTTCTTACTCTGATCCTTGATCCCCATACATAAATATTCTCAGAGAGAAATTGTTGCACTGACATGAAATAAACAAATACTTAACTGTAAGACGTTGCAGGTGATTGACTTTAGACTTCTGATGACAACATTTTGGATCAGGAGTGTTCAAGGAGAAGCTTTTGATTTTTACTTTCCACCCAATAGGAGAAAGTGCCGTTCTCTCCAGGGTAGTGGTAAGCATGTTCAAGCATGAGTGACGGAGCTTTTCTCTAGTTTAGTGCAGTCCCTATGAGTCATCCATAAAGCTGAAACCACAGCCATTGTCCTCTAATTAAAGAGCTACACCAAGAATGCGTAATAATTAGGTTACTGTGTGATACACCATCCGTGTCAACAGCCTCTGCCACAAAGGTTGATTGAAACATACTCAGCCTCCAAACATTGTGTTCCCTGGTAGACCTCCCAAACTAATTCATTACTGACCTCACCATGCAATAACATGACTCCACAGAAATCTGCAGAAAATTAGGGCAAAGTCCACATATAAATCTGTACTGTCTTAGCAGGACTTGTAACTTCAGTGGGAGAAAACCGCACATGTACACTCAGGGCACACAAAGATGAGAGATCCCTGACCTAATAAAGATGAATTACAAATGAAAGCCTGTTGTGGAAACTCTCCTTTTTCAAGCTCTCTGTTGCTGTTTAACTTGATCAGGCAAAATCCGTTTGAACTAGGAGAGTGTTTACCAAATTAACAACAAAGTATTTTTGTTTGTGTCATAGAAATATTTATTTAGTGATTAAGAAAATAATTTTCACATGAATAGCACTTAAGACTCTTCTATGTCATGTTTGTTCCTATTATTTCACACTGGGCTTGGAGCAGCAAGTTAATTATTTGGGGCTGAAGGTCTGTGTGTGGGAAGTTGTGACATGGAAAATGACAGAATTGTATTTAATATTGTGGAGAGCTAGGTTGAGGTATAGGTCACAGCAGATTCCTAAGGAGCAATGTGGAGCAACAAATCACAGAAGAGGCTGTGTCAGGTGCTCATTTGTCAGTTTTGAACTAATAAACTAAGGAGTTATCAGGAGTTATACATTCCCAACAAGTGGAGAGCAGGTCCCATACAGTGGGACTGCTTACCTGATGAGAAGAGCTTCCTTCCAAGGCTGGTTTAAAATTAATGATATGAAAAATAAGTGATTATCTTATTTCATTTAATTTTGTTTTGGTAACATTTACTGTTTTCCAAGTGGTAGAATGGTGTGACCAGGAGGAATTTTACTCTTATGTATACAGTGCTCTGATTGTAGAAAGCACTGTATAGAAATAAAATAGACATGGTCCCTGCCCCTAGGAGTTTACAATCTAAGGGTTGATATGATGCAATGAATGAAAGCAACAAACAAAATTGGGGAACTAGGAGGATGAAAGTTATAACAGTGCCACTGGAGGCACAGTTCTGCTGTAGTTGAACTCAGTGGAGGTTTTGCCACTGGTTTCATTGGTGGCAGGATCAGGGCATGGGATATGTACGTTTATGTGGACTTCTTGATAACTCTCTGTGTGTAATTTTCACTGATATAGATTTGTTTTGTAAAAGCTGGAGGCGTCGTGACCTGTGGCTAGGGAACTTGAGCCTTTCCTCTGTAAAGCACTTTGAGATCTGCAGATGAAAGTGTTATACAAAAGTTAAGCATTACTGTTAGTGGTAGTACTGATATTTGAAGATATCAGAAAAAAAAACCATCTTAGGGTTGGTCAAACTGGAGTATGCAGTGTCTGAGGCATATTGTGTAAACACACAGCATAACAAGTCTGGTTTACACATGTGTTTTTATAGTTAGACCAGTACAGACCGTAGTGTGGATGCAGTTATACCAATAGAAAGATGCTTTCTATATGGGAATAACTCTACCCGGAAGCACACTTACATTGATATAACTGTGTCTGCACTAGGGGGTTTAACTATACTGGGATAGTTAAAGTAGTACAACTGTTGTGTGTAGATGAGACCTAAAAGAAACACTTAGTCTGTTCACCAGATCCCCACTACAGTTGGTGGGCATTTCAAGAATAGAACTAAGAATATATCTTCACTTCAGAGTTAACCTTGGCTTTTACCATGTTTTAGCCCCCCCTTCCCTTCTTTCTCCCCGTTCTCACACACACACAAACCTTTTACTCGGGTTTGGAGGTGCCTTGACCTGGCTGGAGGTGTGAGTTAAAACCCAGGCTACACTTTAAGTCAGGCTAGACCTCACCCACTTTGTAGTGAGGATGCAGGCTAAATCACTCAAGTGCAGAAAGTCCTCCAGTGTCCTTCCCACAATTCCCCCAAAGGACAAACAAGTTCTCCCACACAATTGACTGGGAAAGAATCTTAGAGCATCTCAGCAAAGAACCATGGGATATACCCCCAGACACACCTGAGTAAACGTAGAAACAGTGAGGACATTTTGTTGATTGAATGATGTGACTATGCCCTGCAGAGAAAGGAGTCTGAGGCCTTGGCTACACTCGCGGATTCACAGCACTGCCGCGGCAGCGCTGTGAAGCGCGAGTGTAGTCGCGCCGCCAGCGCTGCGAGAGCTCTCTCGCAGCACTGCAAGTACTCCACCTCTCCGAGGGGAATAGCTTGCAGCGCTGCAGGCACTGATTACACTGGCGCTTTACAGCGCTGCACTCGCTGTGCTCGGGGGGGTGTTTTTTCACACCCCTGAGCTCAGCAAGTGCAGCGTTGTGAATTGCCAGTGTAGCCCAGGCCTCACTTTATGGTTAGAGCAGGGGAGCTGGAAGTCAGAACTCCTGGGTTCTGTTCACTGACTTATTTGACCTTAGATAAGTCACATTAACAAGTAAAATGAGGAGCAATACTGACCTCCCATGTGAGCCTGGAAGCTTAAAGTTTTTAAAGCTTCCTGTTGTCCTCATCTGAAATGTGCTAAGTGCAGGGTGTTAATGTTCAAAGGGAGCTGCACGCATCACCGGAGGACAGAGTTCAACCATATACCAGATTAAAATTCCAGGGTAGAAACCTATGATCAATATATTTGAGAAGTAAATGACATTAATGGCTGCATGAGTAGGACAGGTCCCAAATTCACTCCTAATAGCCAGAAATCAGGGGAAGAGGATGATTAAAATCACTAAAGACCACACCCATTTTTTCTTTCGAACAGGACACCACCACGTCTGTGCGGATAGGTCTTATGATGGAAGAAATGATCTTCAACCTTGCAGATACACATCTGTTCTTTAATGACCTGGAGGTATGTAACTGCATATTTTATTTAACATCTTCCTATTTAATCATCTGCATCTGGTTTAGAAACCCTTGGTTTTCTGCTCCTGAAACTTTCATTACTGACCCAAAGAAGTGGGCCTAAGATGGCTTATGGGAAGCATACCTTGCCACATCTCTCTGACAACTTTGCTTTGCTAAAGCTTTAAAAAAACAACAACAGAGTAACAGTGATGTCTATTGGTAGTTTTACTAAATGTAATAACGAGGACAATGTTGTTTGTCCTTCTGAAATTTGCTATTTAATAATTTCATTAACTACATTAGCACAGATCTTATGGGTTAGTTCTGAACCAGTACAGAAGCTGTTGAAATGGTCTCTGTTCCTCTACAAGCTCTATTCTGCACACACACAAGGTAAAATGAAGAGCTCCTGACTGTCAAACTCATGGCACGAATGAGAGCATGTGTGCATCTTTGCACTAACGCCAGAAAGTCTTCCCCAACTGAGGAAATGCCAGCTGTGATGATGAAGCATTAGGTAAAAATATACCATCATTGATGTAAAACACACCAAAGGCCATTTAGAACATGTGCTGAAGTTCAAGAAAAGATAGCATATGTACAGCTGAGCAACTAGCTATGGAGTGTTGATGAAAAGCTTTTTGAGCTTGTAACCAGCCCATCATAAGGAATGGGTCTAAATGAGTTACATAATAATTTTGTCCAGGGTTTTCTAAGGCTGGACAACATTTCCTTGAAAGGAATGAGTTAGAATTCTCTTCAGATGCTTTGGGCACAATACACTCAGGAAATTGCTTGGAATGGTCTAGGGGAAAAGACATCAGTTCTGTGCCTGCATCCGATAGGCAGAGATCCCTCCTCAGTCTGTTTATTCATTTGGAAAAGTAAGAATTTAACTGTTCCAGAGCCTGCCTGAAATGGGCCCCAGGAGGGCTTTTAATTCCTTTGTCCTTCACTTCTCAGCTGTATTGAATTGCTATGTGGGTTACAAGGAGTTAAAACTTTCCTAGTACTGCTCTTTATAGAAATTGGGACTTCACTTGCTAAGAATTTTCATTTCCCTTTAAAGACAAATGGTCTGTAGCACCTGAACTGACATTTCCTTCCTCTCCCAGCTTTCCAAAGAAGTGTTTAGTGATGGGGATACATAAAGTGTGAAGTGAAAATCTTTCATGGAGAAAAAGAGGAAGAAACTATTTAAGGCACTAAATTAAAAGTGATAATATTTAGCACATACCCAACACTCTTCATCCGAGGTGGGTAGATGGTGTTAACTCCATTTCACATGTGTGGAAACTGAGGCAGGGGGAAGCGATTTGTCCAAGCTTACACTGCAGCAGCACCATGCTCATTCCACTAGACCTGTACCAGAGCTGTGTAAGATTAAAACTTGCACCTCATTACATTTGAGAACATTTCCCCCCTTGTTTTACTTATCTTTTAAGACCTGAATTCAGTTGATGGCTTGCCAAGCACCTCAGAGCAGGGTGAGGGATGTCACTGCCTCCACAGTTACAAATGTCAGTGAGGATTTCAGCTGCTGCAAGCAGAACAGAATCCTTAGCTCAGGTCTTGGCAGGTGAAAAATTCTTAAATTCACCTATAACTACTGGAAGGAGGTTTATTTAAAGTGACCCAGGATTTGAGATTTCCAGTCTTAGCTTCTGGTGCCTTAATGAAGGGCTATCACAAAAACTTCTAGAATTGGTCTGTAGTCCTTGCAAGACCTGATGCACTGTGTGACCTAGTGGGTAAGTCTCTGCCCCTCTCTGCCTCAGTTTTCCCATCTGTAAATGGAGATGATGATGATGATGACAGCACCCTTCTACCTCAGATAGGTACTGTGAGTAATTAATTAATATCGCCATAGCCCCTGTGAAGGTGGAGAGGACTACGTAAGTGTTAAGATTACATCTACGCTATGGAGACGATACCACCGTTGCTATGCTGGCATAGCCCTGTAGTGTAGACACAGCCGTACGCCAACAGAAGGGTGTAGGAATACCACCTCCCCGAAAGAAGTTAATTGTGTTGACAGAACGCCACTCCCATCAACATAGCTGTGTCTACACGGGGGGGTTATGTTGGCATAGCTACCTCAGTCAGGGGTGTGTATTTTTACACGCCACTGACTGATATAGCTATGTCAATATAACTTTTCAGTGTAGACCAGGCCTAAGTAAAATCATTCCCTGGAGTACTGTTCTGTCACTGTTAAGTCTGTCCACATTAGTCACAACCTGTTGGCTCCAGGTTAAATTCACAAAGAGTAAAGTATTCTGTTGTTCTTTTTGTCACTCTACATGCTGATGCATAAATCTCAAAAAGGTCCGATTTGGTATGAAGAAATTCACAAAGACTCCAGCTGCTTCCTTCTCCAAACAGTCCAAGCCCACTGGAGCAGCAAACCTGTGCTGTTAAAAACCTTCAGCTTGATTCTTGGGCGTGTGGGGTAATTTTATGTTATCTGAGCCAGTTTGGCACATCCGTAGCAAAGTTGTGTGAGTATGGGATACAGGTGTACTGGTGAAAAGAAATGATTGTACTGATTTCTATAGCACTTGTCAGTCTGACTGCTTTATTTCAGAAATGTAACACACAAGAACAACAAAATAAAAAAACTGAATAAATGGGTCCTGCATCATGGCTTTGATGGACCTGACAGTGGGAGTGAATAGCAGTACAAGAGCCTTCAGCAGAGAAGGTCTGACTGCAGGACATGAATTGTTCAGAACCCAGTTCTGAGAACAGTTACCCCCAGCTAACCTTAATTACCCAAAGAGGATTTGAGGTGAGAGACAGGCTTATCAGACAGCTTCGAAGATTGTTGTCAACAAATATCAGTAGTACAGCTGGTTGGAAAGCAGTAGGTGTTTTCCATGGAATTTTATTTTCTTCCCATAACTTTTTTGCAGAATTTTCCCAGTTTTCTAAATGAAAACATCCTCAGTTTTTTGGGGGGGAAGAGGGAGCATTAGACTTTTCATTGAAAAACTGAAATTTTCAGAAGAAATGAAAACTTTCCACAAAAATGTTTGCCTTGCCCTACTCCCGTCCCCCCAAGAAAGCAACACAAAAATGTCAACTGTCTTTATTCACTAGCCATGCTGCTCCTGCATCTTAGATGATAAATTAATGACTTCCAGGCCAGAGTATTCGCAGAGTGATAGCTGAGGATTGTGTGGGCACCAACTGTTGGGCTTGAAAGAGATACAATGAACAATATTCTATTAAAAAAGAGACAGGCAGAAAAACAAGCATAGAGACTGATTCAGTTTTAGATCTACTGAGATTACAATATACAGCAGCACCATCAAGTGGCATAATGGTGACCTAAGCAGGGCTCAGTAAGCTAAATCCAGACTGTGGTACAATGCTGAAACTGCCCATGGAGCTGCCCTGCATTCAGGCATATACAGAAGAAAGGCAAAGTGAGAGCTTGTATTAGGAACAAAAAAACTGCAGGGAGGTGAATGTGATGTCTGATACTGTTAAACCCCAGAGCAAGAGAACTTGTGTTCAGGCCAGTCATTTTAAGCACAGCTGCCGTCATTTCTGCACAGCTGAAAAGGCCAGAGGAACTGAAACTAACCATTTATTTGAGCCAGCCCTAAGGCAAACAAAGAAACTGAGGGAGCTCATTAGTGGTAGTACAATGTCCACAAAGAGCATCTATTTATTTCCAGGAAGGCAATGGCACAGCAAAGCTTCTGACTGCCCTATTTTCCCTGCAGTCAGCTGCAGGACTTGCATATGGATGTTGTACTGGAACCACAGATATTATCAGATCACAGAGAGAGAGAATTCAGACTAGTGTGCTGTATACACTCACCCCATCCTCTTTCCTGGCAAGGTGAGTTTGTTAGAACAGTGGTTCCCAGCTGTTGGTGAATATACCTGTAATAGCCACTCCAGGCTTTTTTGATGCTGGGTACATTCCTTGTCTCCCATTATCCCCTTGCACGAAGGTCCCCTCCGTCTACAACCTTCCTGCCTAGCTTTATATTGAACTAGCAGTTCAAGCTGCTGAGCCTCCACATGCTGCTGTTGTGCTCACCTTCCAAACAATTGCACACATGATATGCTATAGCTGTTGAGTCTATTCTCACACATTCAGGCATGGAGGCTGGAGTGCTCCAAGCTCTGCAGGTTCTACCATCTGCAGCTGAACACGAGATAGGCAGTATCTGGGGGTTTGGAGTGGGCTCAGGGCTGGGGCAGGGAGTTTGGGTGCAGGTGTGGGTGCGGGGTCTGGGAGGGAGTTTGGGTGCAGGAGGGGGCTTTGGGCTGGGGTAGGGGGTTGGGGTGCAGGAAGGGGGTGCGGGGTGTAGGCTCCGGCTGGGAGGCACTTACCTCGGATGGCTCCTGGTCAGGATCCCTGCCTACCCTGGCTCCGCGCTGCTCTGCTCCCCGAAGTGGCCGGCCTGTCCGGCCCCTAGGCAGAGGGGCCAGGCTGCTCTGCAAGGTGCACGCTGCCCGTGCCTACAGGCGCCACAGGCACCGCTCCCACAGCTCCCATTGGCCACAGTACCTGGCCAATAGGAGCTGCGGAGCCAGCGCTGGGGGCGGGGGCAGCACGCAGAGATTCCCTGAATGCCCCTCGCCTAGGGGCCGCAGGAGCACATTGGTGAGCCAGTGCTTGTGGCTCCAGCCCTGGGGGTGGGGTGGGGGGCACTGAGGCTTGGGGACCGGTGTCCGACTCGGGGTGTGGAGACTTGCCACAGGCCGGATGAAAAGGAGCAGCGGGCTGCATCCGGCCCATGGGCCTGTGGGGCCCCCCTTAGCCTGAGGCCCTGGGCTGCAGCCCCTAAAGCCCCTGCATTAATCCAGCCCTGCCCAGGAGGAATAGGAGCTAGTGAGTTAGACACTGGTTAACATCCATTTTATGAGCTTCCCTCAAATGAAGGTTTTTGTTTGTGTGTTTTTGTTTTATTCAGTTACAGCTTAGTACCCATACACTGTGTATGGAATGCTTGTCTCTAACCCAAAGGCATTAGAAAGGAA